CCGATCAGCAAGGCCCCAGCTGCCTTTAGAGCTGAATCCCCTCCCCACTCACAGTTATAGCAAGCACTGGGAGGTTTGAATGCAATAGACCCGATCAGCAAGGCCCCAGCTGCCTTTCGAGCTGAATCCCCTCCCCACTCACAGTTATAGCAAGGACTGGGAGGTTTAAATGCAATAGACCCAATCAGCAAGGCCCCAGCTGCCTTTAGAGCTGAATCCCCTCCCCACTCACAGTTATAGCAAGCACTGGGAGGTTTAAATGCAATAGACCCAATCAGCAAGGCCCCAGCTGCCTTTAGAGCTGAATCCCCTCCCCACTCACAGTTATAGCAAGCACTGGGAAGTTTAAATGCAATAGATCCGATCAGCAAGGCCCCAGCTGCCTTTCTTGAGTTTCTGTTTCTGTTTCCTTGAGGTGGAAGCAAATAATTTGGAGGTAGGACCAGTGGTGGGATTCAGCCGGTTCGCACCAGTTCGGCAGAACCGGTAGCTAATTTTTTGTTGCCCAGGCCCAGAATGGACTCCCTGAAGCTGCATCCATACAGAGAACTGGTTGTTCACATATTTGAATCTCACCACTGTGTAGGCCTGTTTTGAGGGCCAAGTGTGACCATGCATCAACATGCAGAAATCAAAGGCAACAATTCCTAAGTACTAGGAACAGAAGTTTAAAAAAAGAAATGCAGGTAGTCCTCGGCTGACAACTGTTCATTTAGTGACGGTTTGAAGTTGAGAAGCACTGCTGTAAGCATAACCCAGTTCCTTGAAACAGTCGTGTTGGTGGGAAATGAGGAGTTTTCTCCCCATCTGCTTTGAGCAGGAGCCCTGACCAGCTTTTTTCTGTGGGGTTTTGTGGGGTGTGTTGCAGACAGCCGTGAAGAGATGGTTTTGGGCAGTATCCTCCTCCCCAGCTACGAGATTCAGACAGCTTTCTCCAAGGAGAAGAAGAACCGCCACTTTGTATTCAAGGTCAGGAGGAAGGACCCTCATTTATGCTTTTGTCCTTCCTGTGATGATGGAATTTCTTTTAATCTATCCATGGTCACCACCATAGAGTCTGACCATTGCCTCAGCTTTAAGCAGCAAGGTCTATATGTGGTGAATACTATATGGGAAGCTGTTTGCCCCCATTGTTGGCTCATCTATCTAATACAGGTGGTCTTCGACTTAATGAACGTTCACTTAACCACAGTGCAAAATTATGACAGACTTCAAAAAAAGCTAGTTAGGACCTTGAAAGATACAAATGCTACTACCCCTCCCCCCCCAGTCACCTGATTGCATTTTGGATGATTGGCAGCTGGCTCATGTTTTCCAGAAGAAAATGGCAAAAGCCACCTGTTGAATACACTGGATTTGCTTAATGACCATGGGGGTTTTGTCTAACAACCATGTGAGTTTGCTTTATGAATCATCATAAAAGGGGTCATAAAAATCAAGTCAAGTCATTTGTTGACCCGCTTAATGACCACAATGATTTTTAATCAAAATTCCAGGCTCATTTCTAGTTGTAAGTTGAGGACTAACTGTATGATATATTGATTTAGAATCTTTGAGCCTGCTTTTTTTCTCATCAAGGAACTCAAGGGCATGCGTGCATCCAGCTTCTAGCAAAACAGTGCTTCACTTAACCTAGTTTAAAAGCTGCATCAACTAGGATTTCTTGCTCTGCCTGCAGAGCAGACGAACCAGAACACAGAATAATAGGGTTGGAAGGGACCTTGGAGATCTTCTAGTGACTAGTCCAACCCCCCCTACTCAATACCATGAGATGCATAGATTGGAAGATGTACAAATGGTACCAAATCTAATGCAGGACCTTTTTGTTGTTGTTGTTGTTGGTGTGTCTGAGTTAGCATTGACTCCTGGCACTACTGCCTAAACATTTTTGGCAAGGTTTTAGAATTGCTTACTGAAGCTCCTATCCTACCTTTAGGACAGTGAAACAGCCACATTTGATGGCAGGCAGTGACAAATTGAATGCAAACCCACTCATTATCCTTCACTGCATCTCAGACAAGAGGCTGCCCAGAATGCTTTGCCAGTATAGCTGGCTAGCTTTCTCTAATGGGTGTCTTCAAAATGATGGATTGCGAAATAGCCATGTGGTGTCTCCTTGCTAAGGCAGTCATGCAACCGTCCTAGAGAGCAGCCTTTCTCAACCTTGGCAGCTTGAAGATGTGTGGACTTCAACTCCCAGAATTCCCCAGCCAGCCATGCTAGAGAATTCTGGGCGTTGAAGTCCTCATATCTTCAAGTTGCCAAGGTTGCGAAATACTGCTACAGAGTATCTTGAAGCTCCCCACAAAACGAAATGAGCAAGAGTCCAGCCACTATAAAGCAGAGTGACTTTATTTGCTAGGAGTGGTATAGGACAGGGGTCTCCAACCTTGGCAACTTTAAGACTTGTGGACTTCAACTCCCAGAATTCTTTGCTGGCTGAGGAATTCTGGGAGTTGAAGTCCACAAGTCTTAAAGTTGCCAAGGTTGAGGACCCCTGGTATAGGAAACCAACAATTCCAACTCTCTCCTTTTCTGCTGGTGTTCTAAGTGTATCCTCTGCCCTCTTGTGGAGACTCCGACCATTACAAGAAACGTCTTTTTCTTTTTTCCCATAGGCTGAACACCCTGGCATGCGGACTTACTATTTCAGTGCAGACACCCAGTTGGATATGAATAGCTGGGTCAGGGCCATGAACCAGTCATCTGTGGCTGAGTGCAACTGTGGAAACCTGTAAGGGCTGGGTATGGGGACAGACACACAGCCCAGTTGTGAGTGCATTGCCAATTTTGCGTAGTCAGGTGTCTAAGGCAGGGGTAGGCAACCTTGGCTCTTTTATGACTCGTGGACTTCAATTCCCAGAATTCCTGAGCCAGCATGGCTCAGCTTGGAAACCTCTCCCTTTCCCCTCAGCATGGCTGGCTCAGGAATTCTGGGAGTTGAAGTCCACGAGTCATAAAAGAGCCAAGGTTGCCTACCCCTGGTCTAAGGAGATGGGACATAATGTAGAAAGTTCTGGAAAGAATAATCCCATGAAAAGAGAGTGAATGCTATTAAAGTCAGAATTGGACAAGAAAAAAAAGATAGTGGAAGAACACAAGAACTGAATTTTATGAGAAAACTGAATTTGTAAGTTGTCCTTGTGGAAGAACTGGGAAGGCATCTTGGAGCTAGTCAGACAGGGCAGCATTTGGTTGAAGAGGGAGGAGCTGGATTTCGCACTGGGAATGATGGGCAATGTTATGGAGACCTGGAACAGTCACTTGGATTTATTGGTCTAATGCTTAAGGCACAAGACTAGAAACCAGGAGACTGTGAGTTCTAGTCCTGTCTTAGGCATGAAAGTTGGCTGGGCGACTTTGGGGCAATCACCAGGAGACTGTGAGTTCTAGTCCCACCTTAGGCAAGAAAAGCAGCTAGACTTTGGGCCAATTACCAATCACCAGGAGTCTGTGAGTTCTAGTCCTGTCTTAGGCATGAAAGTTAGCTGGGTGACTTTGGGCCAGCCGCTCACTCTCAGCCTAACACACCTCACAGGGTTTTTGTTGTGGGGAAAATAGGAGAAGGAAGGTGCATTTGTTCACCACTTTGAGTTATTTGTAAAAAGCAATAAAGGTGAGTTATAAAATAAATACAATAAAATAAAAATGTCCCCTTCTGCTCCACCTCAGCAACCAAGGGGGTCTCCACAGCCACTCAGTGTCTGCCCACACCAGCTTTGAGGACATTCGGCTCCCCCAGGATGATTGTGCCAAAAGCACTGAGTTGCTGGAAATTGCCCATCTCTCAGGGATCCAGGAGGCCCGGGCCTCCTCATCCGAGAGCCTCCACCTGCCTGACATCCAGAAGGGATCCCCTTGCCTTAAGAGGGCTTCTTTATCCAGTTCGCTGAACGGGAGCTACTGCCATGAAAAGAAAGAGCAGCCAGAACTGAGGTAAGGAGAGGCAAAACCAGATTCACTGCAGTGGATGCTGTAGAAGAGGGATGTCCAACCTTGGCCACTTTAAGACCGGCGGACTTCAACTTCCAGAATTCCCCAGCCAGCATAGCTGGCTGGGAAATTCTGGGAGTTGAAGTCCGCCGGTCTTAAAGTGGCCAAGGTTGGACACATCCCTGCTGTAAAGAGTGGGAAGGATGTAGTAGCAGATGGCTACTCTGGCTCTCCAAAGCCCTTAAGGATCACCCCAGTTGACTTTCTCTTCTCCTTCATCTTCTCTTGGCAGCTCCCTGTCTTCCCAGACACATGGATGTCCTTCTCCTGTTAGTTGCACTAAGTTCTCTTCCCGGCCACGGACCCCGCTACCGCCTTCATCGGAAAGCCCACCTCCTCCTTCTCCATCCCGGATATCTCAGCCTTCCCCTGTGCTTTCCCTGCATTCCTCCCAAGCCTACTCCCTCCCGCTAGCCCCAGCTGAGTCCCCCAAGTTGCCACGGACTCACCCATCAGACGTGCAGGATGCCCGTCGGAGCCCTCCGCAATCAGCTGTTGCACAGGCTGCCTCCTGTGATAATCTCTCCATCATGAGCTCTCCTAGGACTCTGCATGCCAACACCCCCATGGGAAGGGTGGATATTGCCCCCAACAAATGCCTTCTCAATAACCCTTATGCTGTTGCATCGCCACCCCACAAAGGCCACTCTCTGACCCCTGCAGACCGGTACGATGTGTTCCCTACTTCTGAGGACTCCTATGCCAGGCACTGCACTCAAAGTCCTCATCTCCATAGAGTCCAGCCTGTGGGTGAAGATGGCTTGGCCCCTTCAATGGGGAGACCACAACAAAACAGAGTAAGTGGGAATTTCGGCTTCAGTAAGCACAACAATCTCACTGGAATATCGTTCCTCCTGAGCTTAGACTAGACACGATCCTCCTGGACTTTAGGAAGGCTCTGAAGATGTGACTGTAGGACAGGGGTCTTCAAACTTGGCCCTTGTATGACTTGTGGACTTCAACTCCCAGAATTCCACAAGTCATAAAAGGGCCAAGTTTGAAGACCCCTGCTGTAGGAGATGACCAGGCTGAGCCCAAGGGAGGGGTCAAACGTCATCAGTCTCACCTCCCTTTGCACCCACAAGAGATCTTAAGTCCAGCCCACCTTTAATTCCATTGACACTCATCTACCGCCAATTCGCTTTGACCATTAGTAGTTCAGATTCTTGTAGAGACCGTTAGCATGCAATAAAGCTGTATTCATTTGAACCGCCTTGGCTTCTGATTTCCTAAGCTTGTCAGTGATTTTGCCAACACCTTGGGGTGGTCTGGTGGTTTTGGAGATTTTTTTTTCCCAATGGTTGAATTGCATGTAATGTATTCATTAATCCTGCCATTGATCCTTGGGTTGGTGTTTTTTTTTTTTTTTTTGTGCTGCTTACGTTTCTACTGCTGGTTCAGCACGTTCGTGTTTTTATTTTTATTGATTCATTTTGGGGTTTTGATGTGGCTTTAAGGGAAGATGGGGCCTGCGCACATCAAGTCAACCAAGAAATAAACTTTGAATTCACTCTATAATCTGAGTTTGAATGTCTCATGAATGTCTCTCTATCTCTGCCAGTTTACAGACCGAGGTTACCTCTCTCCACCGGTTGGCCTGTCCCGTGCTTTGGTCATGTCTCGGCTTCACGGCCGACTGGTGAGTATCGGAGAGGCAGAGATGTATAGCATTTTTCATTTTCCTGCTCTATGGGCTATGCTCCCTCCCATCTGTATCTAGCCTGCAAAATCTAGATGTGCTAGGTCTGGAGTATCACATATACCAGGGGTAGGCAACCTTGGCTCTTTTATGACTCGTGGACTTCAACTCCCAGAATTCCTGAGCCAGCCATGCTGAGGGGAAAGGGAGAGTTTCCAAGCTGAGCCATAGTGGCTCAGGAATTCTGGGAGTTGAAGTCCACGAGTCATAAAAGAGCCAAGGTTGCCTACCCCTGACATATACAGACAGAATGTGCCCTCTACATTCATCATGACCAGGACTGTGTGTGGCTTCCTGCATTTTTTTGTGAAAATATTGCATTCTGTGGCTAAGTACGGGTAGCTCTTGACTTACAACAGTTCATTTAATGACCGTTCAAAGTTGCAACAGCACTGTGAAAAGTTACTTACGACCATTTTGCACGCTTATGACCGTTGTAGCATCCCCGTGGTTACGTGATTTACATTCAGATGCTTGACAACTGACTCACATTTGTGACGGTTCTGCAGTGTCCCGGAGTCATATGATCCACTTTTGTGACCTTCTGACAAGCAAAGTCAGTGGGGGAAACCAGATTCACTTAATAACCGTGTTACTAATTTAAGAACTCCAGTGATTCACTTTACAAACGTGGCGAGGAAAGTCGTACAAATGGGGCAAAGCTCACTTAACAAATTTCTCACTTAGCAACATACATTTTGGACTCAATTGTGGTCGTACGTTGAGGACTACCGGTAATTCTGCCCCAGCAAAAGCTGAGTTCTCCGGCCCAATTATATAAATGGTATAAATGATGCCAATAAAGCAAAATACAGGTAGTCCTCAACTTATAACCAGTTGCTTAGCAATCATTCTGTGTTGCAATGCAGCTTCCTGGGGTACTTATGACCTGTTTCTGAAGTTCCAACAGCTGCCTCCCCCCAGGTCACATGATCGCATGTTGCGCACTTGGCAACCAACCGACATTTACAGCATCCCGTGATCACGTGACTGCATTTTACATTTTTTTCCCCCTGGAAATTGGCATTTAGTTACAGTGAACGATGAGTTTGCTTAGCAACTGCAGTTTTTGCTTTATGATCACTGTGTTTATTTAATGACTGCTGCAAAAAAGCATAATAAAATTGGGTCTGGTCATGTCATGACCTGCTTTACGACCGTTACAACTTACGACCATAATTGCCTGGCTGAAGATTACCTGTAGCAACTTGGATTGTCTTGCAAGAAGCTGATCCTTGTCCTCAACCACTTTTGAAGTTTCCATGTTTGTGTTTGAGAATTCCTTTGTGATCATTAGAGCTAGAAACCTGCTTCCTGCCTAGAATGAAAGCTCTAAAGAGTTTTGTGAAAAGTACTTCGTGTATAATGTACATTCAATGTACATTTGCACTGTCACACAACCTGCTCCTAACCCTTCTTGGCTATATTCCTTAATATTGCCTTCCCTTTTCCTACAGATAACCCCCCCCCCTCTGCCTCATCAAGCTACCTGCACCTACCACCCCTTCCTCCCCTGCCCACTTGGCCCGCCCCAGGGAAAAGGACATCCATAGGGATCACGGTATGTAGATTTGTACTCGGTTCCTCCTCTGTTCTCAGCCAACAACCTTACCATCACAGACCATGTTAGTGCAAACAAATGACTAGATAGCTGCATAGAATGTCTAGTGGTTATATTTATATGACTCTTTTCTACCATTGTTCATAGTAATACGAACCAGCCAGTAGCTGGAACATTTATTCCTGGTTTCGCAGTAAGGATTTGGGCAGGGATGTGAACAACCAGATCCAAATTGTCTTGGAAGAACTTTTAAGTATTCAAATATAATGGTATGTGGGTGATGGTCAACCCATCACCCATCCATTGGGTTTTTCTTCTTTTCACATATAATATGGGTTGGCAGTGTTTCTCTTCATGACCTTTAGCAAAGCCATGTTGAAGCTTCTGTCTCCACCTCCTCCTCCTCCTCTTTCTCCTACCCCCGCTCCTCCTCCTCCTCAGCTGACCCATGAACAACCAGATCCAAATTGTCTTGGAAGAACTTTTAAGTATTCAAATATAATGGTATGTAGTGATGGACAACCCATCACCCATTGGGTTTTCCTTCTTTCCACATATAATATAGGTTGGCAGTGTTTCTCTTTCTTCATCGCCTTTAGCAAAGCCATGTTGAAGCTTCTGTCTCCACCTCTTCCTCCTACCCTCCTCCTCCTCCTCTTCAGCTGACCCATGGAACTGCCTACTCCTGTGCTGGGGATAGGGGGAACCAAGGGAACTGTTGATCTCCTCCCTCCAGGGAGACTCACCTGTCAACTGCCAGCAACCCCCAACCAGCCTTAACTTGCCAGAAGGCATCTAAAGGCACGCTCTCATCCTTTCCTCTCTGCCCACCACGGTTAAGAAATCTCAGATTTCGGCCTTGGTTTCAAGGCAGCCAATTGCTGCTCACCCATCGGGCCTTGCAGCCAGCCAATTGGGTGCAGAGGCCAGAGGGAGGTGGGACAGAGAGCCATTTTTGAGAAGTATAGTAAGAAGTGACAGTCATGTGGCCATGGCTGACTGCAGCGGTGCAGCAGTTGGTGGCATTGGAACAGTCACAATTTTGCCAAATTTCTGTCCCATGGGAGTTAGGGCTTCTGGATTTTGGTCGCATTCTTTAAGTTAGCCTATTTGAGATACGTTGATTCAAAAATGGTTTCCCTATGATGCAACGTTTTGCCCAATTGCAAGAACTGCAGGAAAACAGATGCAAGAATTTTAGTAAGACATAGATAGTAACAGGTAGTTTTTCACTTACAACCCTTCGTTTAGCAACCATTCAAAGTTACTACGGCAATGAAAAAAGACACACAGTCATGTGATCAGAATTCAGGTGCTTGGCATGCATTTATGATGGCCGCAGCGTCCTTGGGTTATGTGATTGCCGTTTGCGATCTTGAATGTCCCATTAGAATGTTGTATTGCTGCTGAGGTAATATAGCTTAGCAAGATTTTGGCTAAACCCTGTTTAACCGCGTCACTTTTACTCGGTTAATTTTAGCAAGAATCAGCATTTGGATTTTAAACAATTTCTTTCGGGCTCCTGGTTTTGAGATGCAAACGGTCATAATATGACCGAATCCGACTTGATATCAACATCTCCCCACGTGTGAAAATCTAGTCCCTTAAACTAAGGTTTTGCCTCGCTTTCTCCCTGACTGGCTAGGTTTCTTTATGCAAGTGTTGCACCAAAGTACTCATAGAAACCTTGTTAGATCCAGGTTTGGGCAAGTCTCTTGAGCATGTGCACACTGTCCCCTGCTTTGAGGCAAAAGCCAGTGCTGCCACTTCTTCCCCCTTCTGTTTGTGGGGTGATAACATGGATGCTCTGTTTACTGTCTTTCTAGGGTCGAAACGCGCTGAGGGAAAGGAGCAGCCAGTCTCCTGGCAGGCAGCGGTTTGAAAGTGACACTGATGTATGCATTTCTCTTCTCTTACCAATGGACGATGTGTATTGCTTTTGCTTTGCCAATTTCCCTCACAGGCAGTCCTTGACTTACAACAGTTCACTTAGTGACCGTTCGAAGCTACAACAGCACTGAAAAAAGGGACTTACGACCGGTTTTCACACTTACGGCCGTTGCAGCATCCCCATTGTCCCGTGATCAAAATTCAGATGCTTGGCAACTGACTCATACTTAATGACGGTTGCAGTGTCCTGAGATCATGTGATCCCCTTTTGTGACCTTCTGACAAGCAAAGTCAGTGGGGAAGCCAGATTCATTTAACAACCGTGTTACTAACAACTGCAGCGATTCACTTAACAAGTGTTGCAGGAAAGGTCGTAAAATGTGGGCAAAGCTCACTTAACAAATGTCTCACTTAGCAACAGAAATTTGAGGCTCAATTGTGGTCATAAGTCGAGGACTACCTGTACTGATTTACCTCAGAAAGAGATCATTCTTCCCCTTCTCCCTGGAGTCTTATCACTAAGCTGAGATTTGAGAATGGTATAAATAGCGGTGGAAAAGTAAACTGAATAAAACCAAACTATTCCAAACGCAGTGGCTGTAAAAAAAAAGTACCATTTGAAAAAGAAAAGAAAGAAAATCTCAAAGGTTCATTGTAAAATGAAAATGAAGAAATATATTTCACTGTTGGCCTAAGAACAGCAAAAAAGGCGATTAGGCAGATTCCTCCAGGACCAAATGGCAAAAATCTGGTCCCCCCTCCCCCCCCAGAAAAGGTTCCATCCAAGTCTAGAAGATTATTTTAGTTTGAGTTAAATAATTTTACATGGGCCTACGGCTTCTTTGAGAGAGCTTGTGGTTAAGGCATCAGGCTGGAAAATGGGAGACCATGAATTTTTCTTCCACTTTGGGTGCAAAGCCAACTGTGTGATTTTGGGCCAGTCATTCTGTCTCAACCCTAGAAAAGAGGCAATGGCAATCCACTTCCAAAATACCTTGCCAAAAAACCTGCACGTACTAGTCTAGGCAGTCACCAGGAGTCAAAACTGACTTGAAGGCACACATACACCATGATCAATGGAAGAGGTATTTTCTTTTATTATTCTAGGGCCTTAGTCACAAGATCAAACTTACCATCATTTGGCCACATGTTTTTGCCTTTTGATCTTGGAACTGTGGGTTCAGGCCTAAAGTTCTGCTCTTATAATATCTCTGATATCCCTCTAATCCAGTGCTTCCCAAACATTTTCCTTCATTATCCCAAAATGCTTATCAGAAAGCCCTTTCACTGTTTATCAGAAAGTTCTTATTCAAATGTTCCTGTTGTGATTGAGTATGTATGTATATGTGTGTGTGTGTATGTGTGTGTGTGTGTGTATGTATATGCATGGATATATGAGATTTACATATATAGCGACCCACTCACTTTCAGTGGCTCTGGGCTGCTTACAAAAAATTAAAGAAAAACAATATAAAAGAATAAAGAACAGTACCCCCCCCACGACAACACACAATCAAACAAGCTATTTGATAGGTTTCTGTGTTGTTAGCCCCCCCCCCCCAAAAAAAAACACTTTTACCCAATTTTGGTAACTTAACCAGGTTTGGGATTCACATCTCTAATCAGTTTTCCACTCCCTGGGGCCAGACAATAGGTTCTCTTACATTGTATGGATAGAGGGTAGCTCATTGGGACTGAGGGACCAGCCCTGGCCTATGTCCATGCCTTATTCACACTTTTATCAGCAGAGAAAACTTTACACAATATAAACATTTGTTTGTAGCAGGTGGTCAAGCAGCTGGCAGAAGCACGTGCTTAATTTGGAACTTTGCAGTGAATTAATTTCAAAGGTTGATCAATTGAATTTTGGAAACATGGAACTTTTATCATCATAAAACAAAGGATTTATTCCATGAGTAGTAAGTTTCTGTGGTCAACCTTCTCCGGATGAGTTGGGGCTGTAACTTCTAATCTCCTGCCTAGCATATCCAAAAATGTTGGACATTGCAGTCCTCATTGTAAAAACCCCAAATGTTCTTTCAAAGAATTTTAACTTGTAAGCTAAGTCCTTTAAAAAAAACCTTCTGTGCCTGGGCAGCACAGCACCTTCTGAGAGCTTTAATTGGAATCAGTCCATTTTTCCCCCTATGTTTTCAGGCTCTTTTGACAAAATTGTGTGGCCAAGACAAACTGCTTCGAGGTCTGGAAGAAGAGACAGGCCAGCTTCGTGCTGAAAAGGTATCTAATCCCACTTCCATTGAACAAATGAGCATTTGCTTAGCTCTGTTATGTTTGAGAACTTTGTGTTTGGTGAATCATTCTGGGATCTTCCCTCTTTTTGCTATGGTGGGAAAAAGACTTGCAAGATTCTGTTTATGCATCCTTACAATAAAGTTGCAGCTAGTACTTCTGGGTGTGTTTCTTGCAAGGCTGACATTCCTTAATAGTCCTTGTTACATTTCTTTTATAAAATAGAACTGGACACACAATGGATTACTAAGGATGTTTGGGCTTACCTTCTCCCCTGTAGCCAGAGTTCTGTCAACACCAGAACAGACTCTCTGTCTGTGTGCACTTTCTTCTCTAACTTAGTTATCCTGCCAAAGTGTTCAGTGAGAAGGCTGATGGAGCCATGCCATCACCAGAAGAGATAGGCTAATTCGCCTCTTTTTAAATGTTTTCTCCATCAGTCTTGTGAGGTAGTCCAGACAAAAAGTGCTATCTTTACTGTAAAATGACATTAACAGAATCTTAAAAATCTGAAGGCACAGCTCTTCTCATCTTTACAGTGTAAGAAACTAGGATTGGTCCCTTCTGAGATGTTTGCCGTGCCCCCCCCCCCATTCCTTCTGTGGACTCAATTTCCACTTGTTTGACCTTTGTCTAGCCTGTGGCTATTCCTTTTGTTTCCCAAGGTCTTTTTCACATATCATGATATTGCCTTATATATCTATTAGAATTGACTTTCAATCTCAAATTGATTAGAAGTCCTGTTGTCATTTGCTGCCAAATATCAGCTGCAAGGTCTTGGGACTGGTTCTCTCCCTATGCTAAGTAGTCTGTGATACTGTCCATTTCTGTGGTTCTGCAAAAGGCCTTGAAACAAAAGTTTGTTTTGTTGATTCTGTCAACTCTACAAATGAGCATGGCTGCAGCCATTTTCCTTCTCATTCTAGGTTGCCACATAGAACGGAGGGAGGGGGGTTGCCCAGGTGCTTCGCTCATCAAAATAATCTTTTGTCCTGTGGGAACCAAGGTCACCGGCTGCTCCCGAGACTGTGGACTGGGCGTTTCATAAAAAGCCTGCCAAATAATCATATTGGGGAACGTAGTTGCTTACATAGCTTTTGTGGGTGGGACATTTAACTTTGTATTGGGAAATTGTTGCTTGTGTATCCAGACTTGGTTTCACTCTTGACCGTGCCGATACTTTGTAACTAATAAACCTGTTCTTTGAGGAACTTGCAAGCCTCGGAGTTCTGCTTTATTCGTCTCTGTCTGTCGGAACCATGACAGATTCATCAAACTGCAATGAAGGAAAATCTCTGCTGGGTTGACAGTTCTCGAAATGGTATTGTTTCAGGAACGTCTTGAAAAGGCCTTGGAAGTAACACACCTGAGGCTGGAGGAGTTTAAAGGCCAAGATGCCACCGTGGAGAAGATCTGCTATCAACAAAGGCAACTGCAAGATGAACTGGTGCACATCCGTGCCCGTCTCTGCGATCTTGCATTGGTGAGTGGTTGCAGCTCCCTGATACTTGAGTGAAAATATTTTTTGAAGAAACATCCTGAGTAGATCTGCACATAGGTCAATTGGTAGCTGTTTATCAGGTGAGGTCCAGCTGTTTGATCATCAGCTGGTACTACTTATAGGAAAGAAATGCTGTATATTTGTCTTTCCCAGCCTGGAAACATCCAAATGCATTGAGGGTTCTGTGGAGTATCTTAGTTATTCCTAGCATTGCGCTGTTCTGGACGGAGAGCTCTGAAGTTGTTCCTGAGATCTGTTGTAGCCATTCCCCAGCTCAGAGTGCTCCTATCACTGCTGGGATCGCTTCAGCCTTTATTTGCATATCCTCTCTAATTCCTCCTTCAGGCCCTGGTGCTCCTCCTCCTTCCTGATTTGCAACCTTTTCATGCTGGTGGCCCGGAGGGAGAGGGAGCAGGTGGGAAATTTGTGTGTGCATGCACGCATACGCCTGCGCAAACAGGGCTGCAGGCACCTGCATGGGGCTAGCAGCCCCATTTGCGCATGCACACTAGCTGCCGCCGCTGCTAGTCCTACACAGATGTGCAAACGGGCTGTGTAACCACTGCGTGCTAGTGGCCCCATTTCTGCATGCTTGCATGTTCTAGCCACCACTGCTGCTAGCCCTGTGCGCATGAGCAAAGAGGTCTGCAGGCTCTAGCGCGAGTGGGGGTGAGTGCACACACAAACGTGCGTGCACTGGCCAGCCTGTCTTGCGGCCTGGTGGCTGGTAGCCCACGGCCCGGCAGTGGGCTGCGGACCATAGATTGGGGACCCCTGCACTATATCTATCGCCACCCTTGTCTTCTGGCCCTTGTCTCCTACCACAATGTCTGGTTGATTACCCAGTACCTGCCTGACTGTCTGGATCTGAAAATCCCACAGGATCTTAACCCTCTTATTCTCCATGACCTTCTTTGGAATTTCCCATCTGGACTTGGGAGAGTGTCACCCAGACAATGTGCACAGGGTTTCTGTACACAATGCCAGCCAGCTGGCTATATTTCTGTGCTGCAAAAATCCAGATGACTGCTAGCCACCTAGTGGTTGTCCTGATATTTTGCAGGACAGATTCAGTAAGACCTTATATACAATAGTACCTCGGTACTCGTTAATTGCTCTGGGAGGCGTGATGAGTATCAAAAACAATAGCACCAAACAATTTTTTCTCATAAGGAATAACATAATGAGTCACAAGGCAGCCAACACCAACAAGTTCTAGCTTGTGCATTGAGTATCAAACAGACAATGAGTACCAGGACAAAATTTTCACATCAAAATGCTTTGAATACCAAATGTGATGAGTTTCAAAGCAGTTGAGTACCAAGGCACCACCGTGCTGTATCTCATCAGCTTTCTCTCTTACCATAAACACAGGTAAGCCGGATCATATCTTAAGATTCAGTTATTGTATGAATATATATTCAGTAGGGAATGTCTGACTAAGTAGCTGAGGCACTGTTTCTGTCCAGGACAGTGAACGAGTATGGGAAGATTATACGGCCTTGGAAAATGACGTACAGATGCTGAAGGGCTCCTTGGAGCATATCTGGACTTCCGGGCATCCCCAGGTAAATCTTAAATATGAGGGACGGAGCTTTCTCCAAACATACAAAACTCTATTCTAGTGGACACCCACTAGGCTGCATTGCTAATTAGACCATAGTCACTCACTGACAGGAGCCTTTGACCGAGTTAACACTTTATTGGGTGATACAATATATCAAGTTTTTTTCTGGTTTCTGTTATTAATTTAGTAATACAGAATTTGCTGGCTTTTTAACTGTTAAATTTTAAAGGATGTACATATAGGAGAGTTTCATTGATAAGTCAGCTTTTGAACCTTAATGATAACTAAAATGAATGCGTGGAACTAATAAACAATTGATTTGGTATCTTATAGCCATAAAAAAGATACTTTCGTTTTATGCAAATTATTCTGCATTCCTAGTCTAACTATTTAATAATAGGAACAGAAAGCAGGAGACAACTTGGATTCTTATCTTCAGGGTCATCCACCCTCTTTTTTCATTTATAGGAATTCCTGTTTTTCTTTGATTAACTGCTGTTCTAAACACTAGAAAATTACTTTTAAACAATGAAAGAAAAACTTAAAAAGGCCTCAATATCTGTACGTTTGATATCAACACATATTGAAAATTCCTATCCATGGAAGAAATACTGCACAGGTTTAGAAATAACGCTTTGCCTTAAAAATATAGGGGAGTGTTCGACAACAGCACTCCTGTCACTTGAGAAATTTCGGCTCTTGTTCAGAAGCGGTGATGGGAAAAGGCAGAGAGATAGGAGGTGTGGCAGTTGTCTCCATTTGTCCATCAATTCCCTTCCTTTAGGACCAAGCAGCAGCTCAGCAGGATTTGTGGAGAATCCATGACACCCTGGTGGGATTGAGATGCAGCCATGCAAATTACCGCACCCTGGAGAACCGAAGATCAGGTGCTTAATGCAATGTGATCAGCACTGCACTGCACTAGGTGTGGGGAGGGGGCCAGAGTGGGGTAGTTCTCTGTTATGAATAATCAGCATTGCAACCAGGAGGGTTCCTTCCTCATCAGGTATGTCCCATTATTATACCTGGGATTTGTTCCTGGGAATGGTACCCCACCTTTCCACCAATAGATGGGAGTAATGATTGTTGATTGCTGTCAAAGAAATGACATCAACAATGCAGCTGAGAAGGTAAAGTTCCTCTTGATTCAGTGTGATTCTCAATGACTATCTGAACCCTCACATGCAGATTTTTTTTCATTTTTCTGAGATGGCTTCCAGTTTCCCGGTCTAAGCTACAGTCCTGTAATTTATTCCTGGGGGGGAGGGGGAGGGCTCACCTCCAATTAACAGAATAACAGAGTTGGAACAGACCTTGGAGGTCTTCTAGTCCAGCCCCCAGCTCAGGCAAGAAACTCTATACCATTTCAAGCAAATGCCTGTCCCGTTTCTTCTTAAGAACCTCCAGGGATGGAGCACCCACAACTTTTGATTAATGTACCACTGTTCCACTGATTAATTGTTCTAACTGTCAGGAAATTACTCCTTAATTCTAGGTTGCTTCCCTCCTTGATTAGTTTCCATCTATTGCTTCTTGTCCTGCCTTCAGGTGCTTTGAAGGATGACCCCCTCTTCTTTGTTGCAGCCCCTTAGATATTGGAACACTGTTATCACATCACCCCTAGTCCTTCTTTTCATTCAGCTAGACATACCCAATTCCTGCAACCGTTCTTCATATGTTTTGGTCTCCAGTCCCCTAATCGTTATCTAAATTACCAAGCTACCATCTCCTGAGACTACCTTGTAATTAAAACACTATCAAAAGTGTAATTAAACATATCCCTGATGGTGTTCTGACTATGCTAAGAGAAGGATCTTGGGAGAAAGGAATCCACTGCAATATCTTTTGCTTTCTTCATTGTAGGTGTGTCTCCAGGCTCACCCTCACCTCTGGATTCACATCTGGGGGCAAATCATCACCCTCTGCTATCCTGCACCAAAACAGAGGTACTTCAAAAAGAACAAGTCACTTCATCTGGAGTTTGGCTTCAGAGTGTGATGGACTCTCCCCTTTTGTCTTTCTTTTAGACTTCTGTCCTGTTCTATTTTTGGAAACATTCTTTAGAGGCTGAACATTCTCTCTGTTTAATGCTGTGTATTGAATACAAGAATCTCCTGCCAGAAGACGTGGCAGTGTTTGTGCGTGTGCATGAGGGTATAAGGGTACACATTCAAAGACCACTAATTACACAGGTAGTCCTTGACTTACGACCACAACTGAGCCCAAAATTTCTATTGCTAAGTGAGACAGTTGTTAAGTGAGTTTTGCCCTGTGGCGTGACCTTTCTTGCCACAGTTGTTAAGTGAATCACTGCAGTTGTTAAGTTAGCAACATGGTTGTTAAATGAATCTGGCTTCCCCATTGGTTTTGCTTGTTCCATGACCCCGGGACACTGCAACTGTCATAAATATGAGTCAGTTGCCAAGCATCTAGATTTTGATCACATGACCACACGGATGCTGCAGTGGTCCTAAGCGTGAAAACACACATAAATCACTTTTTTCAGTGCTGTTGTAACTTTGAACACTTACTAAATGAACTGTTGTAAGTCGAGGACTACTGTATAGTCTTCCCTAAAACGCGGCACCTGATTTATTAGGATGTGTCTTCCTACACTTTTATTTATTTATCAAATCATATTTATATAGCCGCCCATCTCATGTAGTGCCTCAGGGCAGCATACAGAATAAAACAACCCAAATAGATTAAAACAAAATTAAAAAACAATCAAAATAAATTAAAAAAGATGATAAAGCAAAACGGGGGGGGGGGACCCAGTGCATTCCAGTTAACCATCGTGTAACCATCATGGGATCCCCAAGGTAGTTAATGAAACCATCTTACCCGGTAATAAGCTTCATTGGACTTTGTGGTAACTTTCCTGTGGCTTTTAGGATTTGTTACAAAAGGGGCAACACGCAACCTTTAATCTTGCTTCAGAAAAGCAAATAATTTTGCAAAAAGTATTGGTGTTAGAGATAAATAGAAGCTCCATTCAAGGGAAAGAAGTACTTGGATTCTGCTTGGTTGTTTTATTCTTCCTCTGATTTTTGTGTCATAATGTGTTCTTAAAAAGTGGTGAAATCTGAAAATTCTCGGTCACCAGTCCAACAATTTAGTCAAAGCAACAAGAGTATATACTGTATCAATTTCTCTAATATTCCAGTAGGTGGCGCTGGATATCAATTTGACCAGGGCTTTTCAACCAGTGGTACGGGTACCACCTGTGGTACATTGGCACCTGGCAGGTGGTATGCGACCATCCTAGAAAAGTGGTAGCTGGGGAGGGGAATGAGCTGAACCGGTGGCAGCACCACACAAGCCTGAGCGAGAGACGGCTGGAGCTGCAAGGCTGTCAGGGCTCAGCGGAAGTGCCAGGATCAGCTCCAGGCTCCAGCTGGAGCTCGGCGCTGATCCTGGCGCTTCTGCTGATCCCAGAAGAAGCGCCGATCAGCTGGAATGTTGCAACATCTCCAGGGTCTTGTGATTTAGTAAGTCTACGAACCGTTGACTAAGTATAAATACTGCCAGTGTCACAGGGTCCCAGTACACTTCACTGGTTTTGGACGACGTTGGTGGGTCGTCTGCCCCCCCTTATTTTTGGTTTGTGGGGGGGTGGGGTGGGGGCGACGGTTAGGAGTTGTCTTTACGAGTGTTGTTACTTTTGCTCGGACAGGAGGAAGAGCGCGGCCGGGCGGGCAGGCAGGTGTCTTGCTCGGCTGTGCCTTGGGGGGCACTTTTTTCAGTGCCATTGTAACTTCGAACAGTCACTAAGCGAACTGTTGTAAGTCGAGGACTACCTGTACTTTATCACTTTTTTCCTTTTGTTTTTTTGGTCATCAAGTTTTTGACACCTTGCTAGGCGACTGGTGGTACTCGGATACTGCCATATCCTAAAAGTGATACAATGGGTGAAAAGGTTGAAAAGCCCTGAATTTGACAACTATTTTCACTGAAAAAATTCTGGAAGCTGCACTAAAGTTCCAGCTTCTTCCTTTGTGACATGAATCTGAGCTTCCTTGAATCAACTGGCTGGCCTTTCTGTAAACCAGATACAGGTAGTCCTCATCTTATGACCACAGTTCAGACCAGATTTTTTTGTTGCCAAGCAAGATATTTGTCAAGTAGGCCGCACCCAATTTTACGACCTTTTTAATAGCCTTTTTTGGGCCAGGTTTATTAAGCGAATCACTGCAGTTGTTCAGTAAATTGCATGATTGTTGAGCAAATCTGGGTTCACCGTTGACTTTGTGGTTGGAAGGTTGGGAAGGTTGCAAATGGCAATCACACAACCCCAGGATGCTGCAACCATTGTAATTAAATACATCTTGGTTGCCATGCACCTGAATTTTGAACACATGACAGTGGGGGATGTTGCAATGGTCATAAGTGTGAGGATCGGTCATCGCGTTTTTCAGTGCTGTTGTAACTTCAAATGGTTGCTAAACAAATGTAAACCAAGGTTGTAAACCAAGGACTACCTATACAACTTATGACCCCAATAGAGCCCCAAATTTCTGTTGATTAAGCAAGACGGTTGTTAGGTGAATTTTGCCCCATTTTACGGCCTTTCCTGATACAGTTGTTAAGTGAGTCACTGTAGCTGTTACTGTAAGTTAATAACACAGTCATTAAGTGAATCTAGCTTTCCTATTGATTTGGCTTGTCAGAAGGTCTCAAAATATGATCACATGACCCCGGAACACTGCAAGCATCATAAGTATGAGGCAGTTGCCAGGCATCTGAATCTTTTTTTTTTTTAATAAATTTTTTATTGATTTTTATAATTAAACAGTAAATAAGAATATGATGCATTTATATACACAAGCAGAAAAAGCAAAAATCAATACATTATCAGAAAACGCTCGGCAGTCCCCGCCTTGCCTCCACCCTCATCCACTTTCCTATCCTTCCTCCCTCTAACCCACAACCTCTCCTCCTTCTTCCTTACCACCTAACTACGTCCCCTCTCCTTCCTTACCACCTCCTCGAGTGCAATTGGGGATACCAGCCGAGCATCTCTTCCTATCAATTCAATTATTATTTACCTATAACACGTAAATACATCAATTTTTATAATTCCCCTAAACCCCTTCCCCCCCCCCGGACTTCCCGGAACCAGATACAGGATTAAAACACATCCCACTCCATATCTAAATTACGATTTAACTAAACAAGCATAATACTATCAATATATACCTACTTTAACTCTAATAAAGCAATAAGTAAAAACAATATATCTACTCAGAAACTATATAATATTTATTCACTCCATACTTTCTCTAAATATAATC